CCAATGACAAGGCATACTTTGACTTTTCGTGCACATAGACACAACATTGTCAATTCAAACGCTCGGTCACACAACTCAATACCATCTGACCACTAAAATTTGCCACGTTTTTACTTTGTACCTCAAAACTTTCCGATTCACTACACTTAGAAAGTTTTCGACTAATTCCTTTAAAGATGAGGCTGAAAAAGGCAGCAGTTTTTGGTTTCTTATGTGCAATAATAGCTGAAGCACAAGCCAAAGTTTATTTTGAAGAAACCTTTTCCGATGACGAATGGCAGAAGGTTAGTGGAGGAGCAGCCGAGTGAACAGTCTTGACGTTTAGAGAACCATATTCAAACCTTGCGCTTATCTTTTACCGTGATAAAGACAATTTTTTTACAAATTAACAAAGTTAATGCTGTATTGATACCCTGTTGCTTATTTATTGTTTTGTTGAATCGCTTTCCAGCGCTGGACAGTTTCGAAACATCGCGATGACTTGGGTGTCTTCCGCGTCTATCCTGGGATATTTCATGCGGACGCTAATGCCAGTCGAGGTCTACAAACATCACAAGATGCAAAATTCTATGCAATATCATCACAGCTAACTGAAACTATAGACAACACTGACAAGCCTTTAGGTTCGTGTTTTTGTTTTTTTTCATTACTTCATGTGTGGTTCTTCGTTCTTTTCGGATGAGGGCAAAAACGACTACCATTACGCATATTCATCAATTGTATGATGCTATTAATTCTGATACTAACTAATGAATTGCTTGTTATATGGAATAGTTGTGCAGTTTACAGTTAAGCATGAGCAGGGTATCGACTGCGGTGGCGGATATGTTAAGGTAAGACCTGGGGTATTTGGATAGAGCCCTGTAAAGTATCTGGGCATTTACTGTACGCATAAGAGAGAAATGTGCGCTGTAATGCTGTCCGACTAGGCGTTTTGCCTATTGAATGACAAGCACAGGACCAATTTAAAGTTTATTTCACGTGCTAATATACGTACCTTACGTACCTTGTTTTCAAAGCTTCTTCCACCAGAATTCGACTCTGACAAATTTGACGGAGATTCAAAATATAATATAATGTTTGGGGTATGTGAAAGCATGTTGCACATCAATTGCGCATCGACCATTAATAATTGTGATACTCGGCATACCGACGGAATTTCGTTCAGTATCGACTAATTATATTTCTGTTATTTATAGCCTGACATATGTGGGTTAAAGCGTAAGATTCATTTTATTTTGCATCATGAAAACCAAAATAAAGAACTAAAAAAGGAAATTGGATGTCCCGTCGACGAATACACACACTTGTACAGACTAGTGGTACAACCCAATCAGGTATAGTTAATAATCATAAGCATAATGATACGTGAATCATATGCATGACCTCATTCACAAACGCTCTTGTAGACATATTCTATATCATTAGATGACAAGTTGGTGTCTGAGGGGCTACTTGTCGATGACTTTGATTTACTAACACCTAAAAACATCAAAGGTTAGTATTAACATTGGGTAATACCGACATTGATGCGAATGCTAATACGGTAACCTCCATTTTTGCAACAGATCCAACTGCCGTTAAACCAGAAGATTGGGTAGATGATGCGACGATTCCTGACCCGGAAGACAAGAAACCAGAAGATTGGGTTGATGGGCCTGCATTGATTCCTGATCCAGAAGCTTCAAAGCCAGATGACTGGGATGGTAACAAATAATATATGTCTAATTACAACATGACTGTTTCAAGTCTTGAACCTCGGAAAATAACATCAATGTTCTTCTGCTTTTACCCCTATGCAAAACTTTAACCAGACGAAGCAGACGGCTCTTGGGAACCCCCTCAAATTCCTAACCCGGATTATAATGGACCATGGTCACCAAAATTGATTTCTAACCCAGACTACAAAGGGCCTTGGGAAGCACCATTAATCCCCAATCCTGACTATCGTGATGATCCTCTCCTTCATGCTTTCAACACCGCTTACATCGGCTTTGATCTATGGCAAGTGAAGTCAGGGACTATATTTGACAACATTCTAATCACGGATGATGTAGAGTACGCGCAAGAATTTGCTGATAAGATTTTCTTCGCTTATCGTGATGTTGAACTCCAAGCGAAGAAAAAATACGACGAACTAGTGCAAAAAGTAAAAGATGAAGAAGGTGAAAATACTTTTGACGACAATGATACGGAAGAACAAGATGATAAGGAAGCAGAAGAGGCAGCACCACCGGTATTAAAGGAGCAAGAAGAACCAGATGAACTCGATGAACTATTTGCTAACTATGAGCAACAATTGGGCATTAAGGATGAGTTGTAGATTTATTCAGATTGGATTTTATTATTTTATTTGCATAGAATAAATTAAATTAAATTTAACCAACGTATGACATTTTTACGTTGAATTGTGAGTAGTTCATAATATAATATTGCTATTGTTGTTATTGCTTATCAATTTGATTAGAATTGCTACATAATTCATGTACATGGCTCACATGCGTGTTGACATTGTTACTACGGAACGAAATAAATAGATATAGATCAACATGTGTCTTTGTATATTGTCTTCTCTCACCTCTTGTTGGCTAGCATTACGATTTCGATACCACAAAAATCTCCAGTGGCAATGTGATAAAAAAAGATTACTCATTACTACCTTTAATTTTCACAACTTCAGACGTACACTTTCACCGCTCAACCTCCAGTTAACAATTGAACATTATTAGTTCACTTACTACGGCAATAAATATTAGAGCGGAACAGTTGTTCAGAATAATTGGGATTATTATTATCTCGAGAGATCAGAAATTCAGTGTCCTAAATAATAATAACAATGTGTTATTATCGCCCTAATTTTTAAATTTGGTTAGCGCGCACAAGGGAATTACGCGCTTCTTGCATGTCTACAGAAGTTGGCTCAATGGAAGCGATATCGTAATATCATTGTAACTAGTTGTGTTGTTTTTATTTCTTCGTTTATACTCTGTCTTTTGGACGGCACTTGGTTCTGTTCTCAACAGCATGTCCTTGTCCTTGGCTCTTTAGCTCAAGCGAAGGTGCTGACGATGTCAAAGACTTGGGCGAACTTGAAGAGCAGCGTAAGTTTTTCGGATGCTCGGGTCATTTTGCTCTTATACTCGTGAGAGAACCTAATTGTTTCTTACATAGTCAGGCAACTTCGACAAAAGCGTGACGAGTTAAAACGAATATTTGAAGCAGAATGCACAACTACAAGTATGTCAGAGGTTGTTGGTCGAATCCAAGGGAGTTCACATAATGATGATAATGAATTCAAACGACAGGTAAGTTTATGAGGCGCAAAAGTCTCGTTTATTGGAACATAATATCAGTGCGAGAGAGTTTTGCTAATTACGCTTGACTAATTTACGTGCGAGTTACAAAAGTCTCGGTTTTGCTAATTACGCTTGACTAATTACTTTGTATAACGTGTAAAGCTTATTGAACAAACCATTCGTACTCCTAAACGATCTGAAAGAGAAGAGCTGCTGCGAGCTTATCGTCTGACAGGCAAGACGATATTTTCGGTTCCTAATAATGGAATTGGATTAAGGTTTGAGACGTTCTTTGGAGGTACGCTATACGTTCCTTGTGAGATGAAGAGCCGACAAGTTCACTTATCACATAATTCATCGTTAGGACGTTATCACGAATCATATTACATCATTCTTCGTTTGAACAGAGCTACTGATCAGCTAGAAATAGTAAAGCACACGATACCACATTTTATTCCAATAGCTGATATTCAAAGAGAACATTTGAACACCAACATAGACGTATGTAAAACCACACCACATTGCTATACAGTCATTAATTACGAATTCGAAAATATCTACATCTCATGCTGTCTTCTTTCACTTTTCAGACATTCATCTCAACAATCGATAACAACCTACAGGCATTCGTAGCAAGACGCGAACAATTATCGCAATTAGAGAAAGTCAATGGGGCAGACAGAGATAACAATTCCGAATAAACTCACCCCTACCCGAGACGTTTTGTACAAAATTCATGTTGGATTTTACGTCATATACATAATTATAAATATTATATGTTTCATCATACTCGAGCTTGATATTATTAATATGATGTAACAACAAACCAGATGACTAGAGCAATACGAATGATAACGATTCATATAAAAATCTAATGTTAAAAAAAAATACAAATGCCAAAGAAATATAAATATGAAAGACAAGATAAAAATACACAAGCACGAGTAATTATCGATAAGAAACAAGGTATGTGGGGGTAAATAAGAAAACTGTTACAATGACGCAATGTTTCCAGAACATAACGTAGTAAAGCATCAGTAAAAGGTTTTTGCTTCCAGAGCACTTTTTTTTTCATTAATCACTCATGCGTCATTAGTCACCCAACTAACTCTAACTAGCGACAGTATGCAATAGTGTAGTGCACTTTCTCTCTATCCTTTTCAAACAACCGAAAACACTCTTATATTATTCTCCCCTCATTCTCAAACTTTCATTATCCTCCCCTCCCACCTCCATCATCAGCCATCCTGCTCTTGTCCTGGCCAAGCATAATACTCTTCTTCGTCCTCCTCATCATCCCCTAATACGATAATGTAATTCTCAGGTACCAGCCCTGTTTCTTCTCCCATATCAGCGACCAGCCAGCCTGTGCATTGTCGAGATCTGACAATCATAATATCTCCTTCCTGGAAACTCATCTCACTAGGTGTATCGGCTTGAAAGTCGTAGAGAGCCCGAGCTCGATGATTAGCGTATTCGTATCCAAATTCTTCTTCGTCTGATGAAGATGGGTATGTTTCACCCCAATGTCGAGGATCGTCCGGTGGAAACGCAAAGTCCCGGACTTTGATTTCCAACGTTGTGTCCGTGGACGTCAGGAATAAAGTCGATGGGTCTGTATAACGAATTTGGATAGAGCGATGTATGTCGAATGTATTGTTAGTCGTCAATTGCTAGTTGTTGCTTGTTAATAAATAATAGTCAATTAAGCAAGATAATGCTCTAGCCGTAAAACGTTAAACACAAATGTCAACAAACTCTCCGTCATCAACAAAAGCTAACCGCTATAAACCAATCTTCTATCAAATTCACTTAATTTATCCCTTTCATATGTATCAACCGTCCAATACTCCCTTCATTTAAATTGCTCACTTAATACTATTGAACGAAAAAGAAACGGATAGCCAATCAAAACGCTTGAGATGTTCGCGTTCATACAAGCGACGAAAAAATAAACTAATACAACTCTTCTCCCCCCAAAGAATGCAACAAGTTTTCCATCTTGACTCACGACGAAAACAAGATAAAAATATATATTAACCTTTTTTTGTTTCATTGAAAGGAATACTGGTAACTGCTGTTGTAACGTTTGACTCTGGGGCCATGAAAGAGAGTTAGAGTAGGATAACGGATTTGTATGTAGTGTGGGTGAACGAAGGAAACTTAGTAGTGATAAGTATGGATCGGGGGAAGTGGCTGGGAGAAAGAATTTATTTATTATGAGCGAGAACCTTGTTTAGGATATAGTAATCATCAACGCCACAAACAAATTTCAGGGGTGTTCAAAAGCACAGGGCGCCACAACTAGTATCGCGTTCCACCTTTGTCGAGTAACAATAAAGATTCTTTGTCTTGGGCATTTTTAACGTCGATAAAAGCGTAAGACTTTTTATCACACAACAATCGCCACATTCTGCAAGATACACAATTGTTTATTGTAGCAAATTTGCAATATATAATATATATTATATATATTTTCATCATTGGATAAACATGCTTTCCACCAGACTTACCAATTGTAGTAACACCGTTGACCTAGTACTAGTGTTGCAAAACACGCCCAATGGACAAATATCGTCATTAATTAATTAAAACAATAATATTAATGGTTTGGGTTGATTATGACACCATTGTCAAGTGGTCAATATAATATTATCAGTTTCAGTATAATTCTAGATCTACCATTCAATTGGAAGTATTGATATTACCCGTGCTTGATACGTACGGAAATCATGCTTAACACAGTAACGATATTCCACATCTTGAATAGTTTTTCAGAAACGTCCGGGTAGTCTGAGCCAAAACTGAAATGCTGATGGGTATTTTATCTGTTTGCGTGACATGGTTGTCGCGCGCATTTACCAGAAAAATCCGGGCGGCATCATTACTGTGAACAAAAGACACGTGCAATCAAAAAATCATACAATATTTATTGTTTACAATGCAATGATCTTCTATACGAAATAGAGGCTTAAAAGCCCAAACTTAACCAGTCTTCAGTCCCTCAATGCATTCCATTATTTTTTCTTTTATTTCTGTGGCCATAGCTACACTCTCAAACTTGATAGCCAATTGAACCGGTTTCCCTTCTTCAATAGCCCCAAGTCTAACAAACTTATTCTCGGTCGATATACTCATACCCGGAAATAATGGAACGTTAAGAATGTTGCGCAGTGTACCTTCCGTCCACATCAACAATCGGATAGAAGATGGATTATCTAATTTCCTGTTCAACTTAAACGGTCCTTTACCGCGCTCTTTCCAATCCGATTTATTAAGCCAATATAGCTTTGCCGGTGTCTTTACGATCGTCTTTTCGTTCTCTTCGCCAGTTAGCACCGTGGCAGATGGTTCGGTCAATGCAGTATCCGTGCGGAACAATTTTGTTGGTGGCTCTATTTCTTGCGATTGTCGTAGACTGGAACCTTCTTCCTGCTCTCCGCCGTCCTGGTCATCAGAACTCTCTTCGTCCTCGTTAAATTCACTGGCAGTACGTTTTTTTCCAGTAGCCGACGATATTATGGGTGATGACGACAATTGGGACGTTGGTGATGATGGCCGGGAAGAGTCGTTTGAAAGCCATGACCCAGTTGCATTAGATTTTGAGCTTACATCAAATATATTTGTTTGTGAGGAAGTCGATGAGACAGAATCCGGGTCGGTTGCGGTAAGCGATCTTGTCAAGTTTGTGACTGCTGGAGAGAATCTCACTCCACTACCAAACACGCTCGCCCCGCGCATGGACCTTAGACTGGGTGGTATAGAAGTCGATGTTTTGTCGGCTACTTGTTCTGAAGACTGAGGAACAGTCGGAGAGCTATTGTTAACTTGCTTTAATGGTGACGAAGCATGTTCTTCTTCTTTTGGTTTGGCGGAAGATTGTTTAACTTCAAGTTTTTGAAATTGCTTTGTCACATTAGCTTCCTTGGTCTCTATTGTCGTCTCGTTGTCTGCGTTGCCTTCGACCTTT